CCTCGGAAGTAATTCTTTTTCACATTTAAATAAAATTTAAGTCTAAAATATTTCATCTCTTCAGCTTAGTTTCCCAAGGCTTCACAACTCATTGATTTGTTGTTAACAAATAGTATCCATCACCTACACCACCAACACCCTCTGCATATTTCCCCCACAGTGAGAGACAGTTTAAAACTTCAGATCACACTAGGCATAAACATGCATGTCAAAGGAATTTAGACGTACTAGGGCCACATCACCACTTTTGTACCTATTAAGCCAGGGATAATTTCCACTGCTTTTCAACCATTCCAAATAGAACAATCTAAATTTTTGTTATATTTAATGTTACTTTCCAAAATTGAAATACAAAATAAACTTTCATCTATAAAGATATGTATATGAAAATAAAAGAAAGTGTCAGATTTAATGTTTGAGTAATATTTTGTAGCAAGAATATGTTCAATATTCAGTCCATCTTTCAAATTATTTCTAAATTAATTTTAAAATAAAAGCCAGAAGTCTTGTATTCAAATGAATACAGCAGTCAGGTGAAGGGGCCATGCTCTAGGGTTTTTGAAATAACAAAAAACCCTAGATGTACAGGCAAATATCTCATTCCTGCAAGCTATATAACCAAAATGTGCACTCAACTGCAAAACAGCTAAAATTGCAGAAGTAAAATTTGTACTCAGAATCGTATCTGTATGTGCATGTATTCTCCGTGCATAGACAATGTAACCTATTTTTTCCTAGTGTATGCATTAACAATGGTAGTTTGTTTGAATAATCCTAATTTAATTTTCAAGAAAGTTGCTGATATGAAACTCTCTTTAGGTCCTTGTTCTAGTAATTGTAGTTGTTCCACATGTCTATCATTCTTCAACTAAAATTATTTTCAACTTTAAAAAGAGCCATCCAGTTCCCTTTCAGTCTTCCAGTCAGATCTGCTCAATATTACCCTCTGTCGGACTGGACAAAATTCTAGTATATGTACTATACAAAGAGGGGAAATTCCTTTCAAAAAAAAGTTAAAAATCCAATATTTTACTTTAATTTCACTGTAATAAGATCCTCATCCTCATCTTCGAATTCAAGATCCTCATCCTCACCTTACAAGGCCATTCACGGCCTTGCTCCCTCCTACCTCTCCGACCTACTATCCCCCTACTTACCTGCCCGTACCCTCCGTTCCTCTGGCTCCGGTCTGCTCCACATTCCCCGCCCCAACCGCCCTACCATCGGTGGCCAGGCCTTCAGCCTCTCAGCCCCTAGGCTCTGGAACTCTATCCCCCAGTGCTTCGCCGCCTCCTCCCTTTCCTCCTTCAAGGCCGGTCTCAAGACCTTTCTCTTCAACTGTGCCTTCAGCTCCCCTTTCGACTCTCTACCCCCTCCGCACTCCCTCCCTCCCCTCACCCTGACCATTTCCCCCCTGCTCGGGTCCCAACCCAACTGTCCAGCACCTTGGGATGTCCTCCCGACATGAACGGCGCTCTATAAATGCAACTTGTTGTTGTTGTAATAAGAGTTTAAGAAGATAAAATCAATTATTTCTGACTGTTTTATCTTCGAAGTTGAATCACAAAAATAATAGTCACAAAAGGCACTAAATACTGCATTGTAACAGCTTCTTGTCATTGGATAGTGAGCCTTTCATCACTACGTTATATATCAATCTTCCATCGACCTGCCCTGCCCTCCCATTGGACTATCCATCAACCCATCCAACACTCCCAATGGACCATCCACATGAGTCTTGGATACAAATGCAAGTTGTTGTCATTGTTGGATCTGGACTTCAAGTGCCAGGTGATGCTCTGGACCGCTCTGATAGCACAACACGGCAGGGTGTAACCTTATTCAATAGTTTTGTTCATGGGGACCGCAAATTTACATAACAATACACAAACTCAATTGTGTACAAAACATACTAAGTAAGCACGGCTGAGCCCAGCCACCAGAATAACAGTATGTGGTGGATTGTAACAATAGGCGGGTCAACATTTTGCGAAGTTAATTGTATGTTTCAAGTGAAATGTTCTTGGGTGGCCAATCTTCTCTCAAAAATCTCTCCCAATTTCCAAAATGAATCTAATGCCCTCCACTGTACTCCCTCTAAAAAATGAGCATCTATTTTGAAATAGAAACAACAGAAATTGAACAGCTCTTCAGGTGACTTCTCGTAAAGGGTAGCAAAATTTTACTATTTAAATATATTTTACCTTAAAAAGTACAAATCTTCCCCAATAACTCAGTCAGGAAGCCATGGTCAGGCAACTCAAGTCATGGAGCGTGGTAAAGGTCCCAGGCTTAAATCATTGTCTGTGCCAAATTAGCTGACCTCAGCTGTGAGATACACTATAACTGGTCTTAGGACTCCTGGCAAAGAAGAGGGACGGAATTAGCAAGGTTCCTATTCCTGATTGCTATCCAGTGATCTCTGCTTAAAAGTACAGCCGGACAGACATCATGCGAGGACAGAATAGGCTTCAGCTCCTGATTGAAAAAGCCGATTAGTGGAAAGAGGTAATGGAGGATGGACAATGCCCATAAAATTGTAGCTCGTTCCTCTAACCTCTAAAATTAAACTGGGAGGCTTGTACCAATTAGAGCAATATACCTTTTAAAAGTCATATTGGTTGCGCAATTTCACTGGAGCCAAGAAGCCTGCTGTTCTATAAACCCTAATACACCTGGTTAAAGTGCTTTTATGGTTCTCAACAGACTTTATTGACATTTGCATTATTACCTTGTGCATCAGTCTTCCATGTGCATCTGTCATCTCTATAGGAACTGGCCACTTTTAAACACTCATAGCATACTCTGCCACATTACCACATCATGCACAGAAGACAAAATATTTTTCAGAAGTGTTCATCACTGTCAAAACGAGAGTTAAGTTACTTCAAGCAGTGAGACTCGAAATAAGCCAGCCAAATTACAACATTTCCTCCATAATTTAAGGAGGCGTCACACATCCAGTTAAAAGCAAAACGTTACTCAGAACCCGAGTCAGTTAGCAGCACCGTCACAGGAAATATGGTGCCTATTCAAAGATAAAAATCAAGCAATCATCAGCTAGTTTCTGTATATAAATTTTTTTTTAAAAAGGAGGCAGTGAATGAATCAATTTGCTGCTCTAAATGCCACAAATATTTAGAGCTGTAGTGTTGAGGTCACACAACGAGTAACTTGCTAAATTATTAGTCACTCTACCTTTGTAGGCCTCAAACCACTTTCACACGTGGTGAAATTCGGCAGCTGCTTTACAGGACACAGTTTTATAAATACAACTGCGTTTGCCTTAAAAGGTAATCTGTTGGTTTGCTTTAATTTTCCCAACACGCGGTGTTCGCCAACTCCAAAGTTCCGACAAAAGGAATAAGAGATCCAAAAAGCCAATCTAAAATAACCATCATCAGAGAATTACGTAGAATGTGACAGCACAGAAACAACTAGTCCATGCTCGGTGTTTATACTCTATGTGTGCCTCCACCACTCCTATTCCCCTCTCTTTCAACCTCATGCATACATTAAGTTCTCTCTTAAATACATTGATGCTTATTGCTTCAAACATAGTTGCTTCCAGCAGTAACTTCAGTAGCAACAACCACAACAAATTACATTTGTATAGTGCCTTTCACGTCAGGAGCAAACCAAATGCTGTATGAATGTTAAATAGATGCGGTGGCCTGGTGGCACAGATTACAATGACCAATGCACTATGCCATGACAATGATACATATACACTGTATATCAGGACAGAATATATAGAACGCTGCTCTTGGGTCAAATTCTAGCTCCACAATAATAATAATAGATGAGCTGGCTCGCTACTTGGGTTCTTTCGTGACACATTTTATCAGAGCTTCGACTAGTCTCTGAGGAAGCTTTGAGATTTAGTTCACCAATTGTTGAGAAAGAAGGTTTGTCATTAATTAATTTCTTCCATTTGCCAGCATATAACTTGCACGAAACAATGTTGAAATTATGTTGACAGCACGAAACGTGCTCAGCTATAATTCATTTCGAATAAACAGTCTTAAACAAACATTTTTTAAAGAACTATTTTCTTGTTATAAACTGAGCTTGGTTGTGTATTTTTAGCTGCCAAGGTCTGCAAATTAGCAACAATCAAGTGTTCAGATAGAGTAATTGAGACAAAAAGTATTACTTGGTAAAATGAAGGCGATACAAATAAAGGAAATAACAAGATAGAAAAATGACAACTGAAGAAAAACAACAACATAAAGGGTTGGATATTAGGGTCTCAATGCAGTAAATCCTAACAGGGTTCCTTAACGAGAAATCAGAGCAGGACTCCTGGCAACCAGAAGTAAATCACACTGATCTACAGCAACTTAGTTCCTAAAGTGGATTGTGTCATTGGTCAGCATGACATACCATCCATTTCCTTATAAAGGAAACTAGATAGAAATCACCAAATATTGGACTGCATAGGCAAAAAGGAGGGCAATGTCCATCTATGTGAAAAAAAAAGGAATTTAAAGCACACACATTTTTGTTTCGCTCGTCCTAGTTTAATTAGTAGTTTATCTACAACTTGCAAAGTATAAATCAACTAGAGAAATGTCATACACAAGTTAAATAGCTTATTATCTGTGCAATAGGCATATTTTAAATAATTTTCAAGCTGACAGATAGAAAACAATGCATCATTGCTGCAGCTTTGATCATGAGAAAGTTAGACATTTTGGGTCTTTAAAAATTTCAGTTACAGTAATGGAACAAATCTTTAAGGTCAAAGTCTTCCAAAACTAGCTTGTCAGGTTTTATATTTTAAGGATTTTAAAACTAATTCTGGAGTATTTAATCACAAATACAAAGTTTCACAGGGAGAATGTCAGACAAAGAAGCCTAAAGCCTCATCAATGATAGCCTTAGAACTCAAAGGCAATAACTTGTGTAACGAAATGCCTTCCACTCGGTACTAGTTCCTCAGATGTATGGAAATGCATCTTACACCCAGAAATTACAACAAATAAAGGCTGATTTACCTCATGACTTTCCTCTACGTCAACATCCCCATCATTGTCATCATCCATCTGCTTGTGAATCGTACGAATAGCCTCAAGGCTAAACCTATCATCCTCGTTCAGGCACGCTGGGTTCAACGTACTGCAATTATCTAAAAGTAAAAAGTTAAGAGGTTAGAAATTGGTCCAAAACCTGGAATAGACTTATATATAAGACATAGTAGATATACTGTACTTAAGAGATTCTTTACTGATTTTCACATAATTGATAATCCACGGCATTTCTTAAAATCTACAGACTGGAAATCTTTTGAGAATTTTTCTCTGCGCCTTTTCCCAATTGTAAATGGCAATAATTTTAAGCAGTCTTTTCACTGTGCCTTTATACTGACTCAGTTGGTAACACTGGATTGAAGACCCACATCAGGACTTTGAGCTTGCCCGCGAGAGTGATACTCCATTTTGTTGGCCAAGACACCAGAAGAAACTCTCTGCTCTTTTCAAATAGTGCCACAAGGTCATTAACATCCACCTGAACAGCCAGACAGACCTCAGTTTACAGCTCATCGATGGACAACAACTCTAACAATAGAGCGATCCCCCAGCTAGACTGAGGTCAAAGCCTTCATCTGGTGTTTAAATCCATAATCTTCCAACTCAGAAGCAAGAGTACTACCAATTAAGCCACACTGACACCTGGTTACACATAATATAAATATTTATAGGCTTGTTTATCTGCCAAGTTCAATGATCAACCAGGAAGGACCCGGATAATGATTGGTTGTACTTTTTGAATAAAATACATGTAATTACTCTCTTCCTCTTAGTTCCCATGTATCACATATAATTCACCGCCTGCTTGTCTGCAGGCACCTAAAAAGATACAAGACAAGTACAATACTAAAGTCGGCCATGAAATGTCGTTTGTGACTTTCCAGCACATCTTCACGAAGAATGAAGCATCCATGTGTTCTCTACCTCACTCCAGTAACAAGTGCCCTAGCACTCAACAGCACAATGTGGAAGCACCATTCTGTCAACCAACCAAGCTATTTCAATACTGGACCACGAGTATGACATGGAAGACTTTTGTACTAGTGGGAGATGGTACTATACAGTGGTGAAACATTGTTTTACAAATTCATAAAGGCCAAATTGGGTGAAAGCAATGTAATACTGTTCAAGATCTGAGCCATGTTCAGTGCAACGGTTACAGTACATGGCTCAAATCACTGTCTATTCAATATGGATTCTGCAACAGTACTTTTATTAAATAACTCAAAATAATATTGACATGTGAAGGACACTAAGTGTCAACAGTCTTAAAAGATTCTGCTTCTGTTACTTTAGTAATGAACATTTAACATTAGTTAACATTTGCTGAATATGAACCATTAATACTCCATGCAATTTATTTGAATGACTCAATTTTTAAAATAATTCACAAAACATTTGAAACTTCATTGACATTTGCTGCAGTTCAAATATTTAATTCCACCAACAATTATAAATGAATATTACAAAATTAATAATCACTGAACTACTGGTAAATAAAATTAAAATCGATAACATCTATTAACATAACAACCATATAAGTAACCAAATAGTGATTCTGTAATTAGTGGGAATTTCCGCACCCATTTTCACTCATACATTTGGGAATCTCCAATTTTTTCCTGTAATATTTTCATATTATTTCGGCCATCATACAAAAAAAAATTAATTTATAACTCTGTCAAGTCTTGAATGTTCCAAAATCAATCATAAATATTCCAAATGAACAGTTATCCAAAGCTTAACTGTTTACCCTGACCATCAAATTGCTTAACAGCCTCATCCTTCCTACCTACGTCATCTCTTCTTGCTTTTCTGCGGCCTGGATCGTCCATATACATTATAAATATTTTGGGAAATGTTTCTCTATTATTAGCTTGCTCAAGTGTTGTCAAATGATAAATATTAGAGAAATTCCTGCACTAAGTGTTGCTATTGAGCCCTTCCAGATCATGTACAGCACATGGTAGATGTTCAGGAAACCTGCCTTGTGTTAACAATGTGCATTAACAGAACATCCTTACTGCACCAGTTTGACTCTATATTTTCTATGTAAGCAATGTTTATCATCTTCTTGAGACATTACAACTAATTTAAGGCAGATGATGGCCTTTCTGTACTGAGGGACTGCACCAACTCAGGACCAGACTAGAACCTATCGACTCATTTTACAAAAGATCTTTCAAATTGGCAGAGAGGAGACTTGCATTCCATTAGTCTGGATCAGATTCAAAGCTAGGGACTTTAGAGGAAATTGAAATTTGCTAACCAATTCCCAAACCCAGTCCATTCAATCGTTTTTTTTGCAATACTCTCAAAATTAAGTCAAGAGGTTCCTCCCCCAGGAATACTTTTAGATTTGTACATTCACATTTCACTCAAAGATCAGGTTACCCAAAGACCTAATCAATTCATATTATTCCCCCCAAATTAAAAAAATACCCAGACTTAATTAAGCTTGTGTGATAGCACTCTTGCCTGCAAGTCAAAACATTGTGGGTTCAAACCCCACATCGGGACTTGGAATCGCATAGTCTAAGATGACATTCCAATGCAGTGCTGGGGAGGGGGGGGGGTTACATTGTTGGAGGTCCCATCTGCCTGTTCAGGTGGATGTTGAAGATGTCATGGCACTATTCGAAAAGAGAATTTCTTCCGGTTTCCCAGCTAACAATCCTCTCCAAATAAAATTGGTCACTCACTTCATGGCTATTTGTGGGACTTTGCTGCACGCAATTGGCTGCCACAGTTCACCCACAAAATATAGTCAGATTGAGTATTTGAGTAACAAACAACCATTATATAAAAAGTACAGCAAAAAGTATTATTTTTCGTAAAAGTCTTTGTACTCTTTATAATCTTAATTTTCTGTCACATGGTAGTTTCCATGCTGACCTGCCATCTTTCCTGTTACAGGAAAATATACCGAACAGCATTTGGATTTTCAAACACAAAACAAAACATTTGGCTTGGATGATTAATTACGACACAATCTCAGGGTTTAAGAAATTATATGAACCCCTAGATTGCATTCACAACCTTGTGATACAATCTAAAATAGCTCTAATCTTCCACTTATCCCCCAGAAGGTGGCTTGTTATTGTAATCGACTACCATTTTACAACAGCTCATGTTAAGCAAACAAAATGAATAAACATACTCACAAGGAGCACAAGGAATGGAGGAAATGTGGCAATTTGATAGAAAGGTGACTCAAGGACAGCAAACAATGAGTAGGACAGATAAGTTGGCAGATGGTAATTAGTGGTGTGTTACAAGGGTCTATGTCACAAGGGTCTCGTTTTATCCATATATTCTATATTGATGACTTTGCTATGGGGGCATGATATCAAATTTGTGGACGATACCAAGCATGGAGGTATAGTGAGAATGGCAAGAGGCTGCAGGAGGACTTAAATAGATGAAGTTGCATGAAGTGAAATGCAAGGCAATTCATTTTGGCAGGAAAAAAAGAGGGAAGGGAGAATACATTCAATGGCGGAATAGTCATTGGAGAGGATGATACCAGGGATGAGGAGCTATAATCTTGAGGAGAGATTAGAGAAGCTGGGTCTGTTTTCATTAGAGCAGAGAAGATTAAGAGGGGTCTTGCTGGAGGTGTACAAATTATGACAGGGTAAATACAGAGAAGCTATTCCCATGGGTAGGATATATACATAAAATAATCACAAAAGCAGCAAAAGACCATTTTTTTTCCCCCAGAGAGGTGTTGGAATGTCCTGCAAAGTTTCGGTAGAGGCAGAGCCAATTGTGGGTTTTAAGAGGGAAGTAGACAGGCATATGAAAGATAGAGGCTTGAAAGTATCAGGAGAGAGGGCAAGCGAGCGAAATTGAATGGCTTGCTCAGACCAGCGCCTGTGCAGATTTACAGGCCGTACAGCCTCTTTCTGCATTGTAAATCAATATTTTTTAGGATTCTACTCAACACCAATTGCATAATATAGATGCTAATGTGAGGGTCTTTGGTAAATAATCATTCTGTGAAACTGGTGCGACTTCTGCCTTTGTTAAATTCAGATAAAACAGCTGTTTTGATTAAATAAAAAAATGAGACAGTGTAATATTAATACCAAGTACAGCAGGTATACAGAACTCCCGAAGCTTCCTTCTTATACCACTTCCTGCTTGCTTCTTTAGAAATTCAGAACCATACTCAAATTATTTCAACTAAAGGAGGAAATAATTTTATAAAAAAATGAATGAATTGCAAACCGAGATTCCAGGGTATCACTTATTCAAGATAAACTGCAACCACTTCTGAATTTGTAACACCCACTTTAACACTTTAACTCTGTCAATGCCATGGGTGGTTTAAATGATTCTGTAAACGTACTACATAATTCAACATCATTTCACTGTAAAATCAAAAATTCATTCCACCCCCTGATGAAAAGAAGAAATGCAGATGATTTGTTCATTTCCAACTCCCATGGCACCAAGTGTTTTCAATATTAGGCTGTTTAGAATAGTGCATCCATTTGGGTACCACGTTATAGAAAGGACATCACAGGCATTTGAAAGGTTAATGGTAATTACTTGAAGAAAACTAATATTAAACCATATGGAGAAACCGCATGGGAAAGGATTAGGGGAATAGCTTCAGTCTTTATGATCATACAATGGTCTGTATGATCTACTTGGATGCTGTATATAGCAGAGCCTGTTGTGAGTTTCAAGAGGGAAGATGACAAATACATGAAGGCTGAACTGGCTTCAAGGTGACACGTTTGACAATAGAAAATCGGAATTTTCCTCTAATCCTCTGTGGCAATCTCAGTCGTCCAATTCCTGAACCAGGCAGATACACAATACTCCAGGGCCCTGTTGATGGCAGCCCAGCCAGCCTCGCTGATCAGCAGGACTTGAAAGGGCAGACCAGTCACTGAGGACAGGGATTCTGCACACTCAGCTCCTATTAACCCTGTAAGCCAGAGCCCTGAACGGGCATGCTGGCCCCAGCTGGACAAACAGCAGGAAAGCTTGCCAGGCAAGCTATCTGGATTTAGCTGGTTAGACTCCAGCAGTACCCCAACACAAATTCTGGGAACCCCAAGTCTTGGCTTTTGCCAACCTGGGC